TCTATCTATCTATCTATCTATCTATCTATCTATCTATCTATCTATCTCTGTGTGTGTTTGTGTGTGTGCTTGTGTATGTGTGTGAGAGATATCCTAGGAGACCAGAGATATCAGATCCCCCAGGAGCCATAATTACAGGCATAATTACAGCCTGATCTAGGTGTTGGGAAGCAAACTTGGAACTGCTCTTGGAAGCAAGAGCAGTGCTCACTTTAAATGCTGGACCAACTCTCCAGGCCCGAGTGCGGTGTTTAGAATCCCATGGCCATTGTTTCTCCTCCATTCTATATGGTGCTAGTATCATTGCCTTCATCCAGATGTCTAAAACAGAAACTTATTGAACAGCATCGCTTACTTTGCTATGAGAGATGCAGCATTTAACTTTCTTTTCTCCAAACTGCAGGGTATCAATGTGAATCTTGTGACGATTAACCGGGTCTCTTCTCTTCATGAGGCGTGCCTTGGAGGTCATGTGGCTTGTGCTAAAGCCTTGCTGGAAAATGGTGCACATGTGAGTCCTGCTGCAATGCACTTGGCTTTGTCTGACCCATTGGCTAAGGAGACATTACCTTCCAGAGTGTTTACTTATTGAGCAATGGGAAGGTCTGGCCCTACTCACACCTGTATACCATTGTTTAGGTTACTCTATTTTCAGCCTATATAGCCTATATGTGATTCAGATGTATTCATTAAGAAACCATTTTGTTGTAAAATATAAATAAATTTCAACAGAAGAATTAAAAGCCACTTAATTCAGTACTCTAAATTAATCATTATTTTAGTTTTACATTATCAAAGTAAATGAGTTTTTGTTATTTTGTCTTTTTCTTTTTTCTTTTTTTCCAGAGCTGAGGACTGAACCCAGGGCCTTGTGCTTGCTAAGCAAGCGCTCTACCACTGAGCTAACCCCCCAACCCCAGTAAATGAATTTTTAATATAAAACACATCATGAACTGTTTAGCTTCTTGCCTATTGCTGTGATAAAACACCTTGATAAAAGAGAAAGGGTTTGTTTTGCTCAGAGTTCCAGGTTATAGACCATTATGGCTGGCAGGAAAGTGGCAGTGTCAGGAGTTTGAAGTAGCTGGCTACAATATGTCTGAAGAAGGGAGCAATGACTTCATTGCACGTTAGTGCTCAGATTAATTTCTCCACTCTTGTGAAGTCTAGGATTTTTTTTTATCAAGTGAATAGCAAGTCTTCCCACTTCAAATATGTAATCAAAATAATCCTGGGGCTGTAGATATGGTTCAGCGGTTAAGAGCATTTTCTGTTCTTCCAGAAGACCAGAGTTTGATTCTTAGTGCCCATGCGGAGCAGCTCATTGCTGCCTGTAAATTCCAGCTCCAGGTCTTTGACACTCTCTACTTGCCACTGTGGATGCCTGCACCCTTATGTGGACCCAACCATACACATATAAATAAAAATAAAATAATTTTTTTCATTCTTTTTAATTTTTAATTTTTATTGCAATTTATTCACTTTGTATCCCAGTTATAGCCCCTCCCTCATTCTCTCCCAAGAATGCCCTCCTTCCCTCTTCTCCTCCCATACCCCTCCACAAGTCCACTGGTAGGGGAGGTCCTCTTCCCCTTCCATCTGACCCTAGCTTCTCAGGTCTCATCAGGACTGGCAGCATTGTCTTCCTCTGTGGCAGTAGTAAGCCTGCTCCCCCATGAAGGGGAGGTGATCAAAGAGCCAGCTACTGAGTTGATGTCAGAGACAGTCCCTGTTCCCCTTATTAGGGGACATACTTGGAGACTGAGCTGCCATGGGCTCCATCTGTGCAGAGATTCTAGGTTATCTCCATGAATGGTCCTTGGTTGGAGTATCAGTCTCAGAAAAGACCCCTAGGTCAGATTTTTTGGTTTTATTGCTCTCCTTGTTGAGGTCCTCTCACTTTCAGGTCTTTCTGTCTCCTCCTTCTTTCATAAGATTCCCTGCACTCTGCTAAAAATTTAGCTATGAATCTGAGTCTCAGGATCTGCTTCAATACCCTGCTGGGTAGAGTTTTTCAGAGGCCCTCTATAGTAGGCTCCTATCCTGTTCCCTGTTTTCTCCCTCTTCTGATGTCTATCCCATTTGTCTTTCTGAGTGAGGATTGAGCATCTTACCCAGGGTCCTCCATCTTGTTTAGCTTCTTTAAATGTACAGATTTTAGTATGTTTATCCTATATTATATGTCTAATATCCACTTATAAGTGGATACCATGTGTGTCTTTCTCCTTCTGGGATACCTCACTCAGGATGATCTTTTCTAGTTCTCAGGATTTACCTGCAAATTTCATGATTTCCTTGTTTTTTTATTGCTGAGCAGTATTCCTTTATGTAAATGTACCACAATTTTTGTTTTCATTCCTTCATTGAGGAACATCTGGGTTGTTTCCAGATTCTGGCTATTATGAATAAAACTGCTACAAACATGGTTGAGCAAATGTCCTTGTATACTTGAGCATAGTTTTGATATATGCCTAGGAATGATATAGCTGGATCTTGAGGTAGCACTATTCCTAATTGTCTGAGAAAGCACCACATTGCTTTCCAAAGTGGTTGTACAAGTTTACATTCCCACCAGCAATGGAGAAAGGTTCCCCTTTCTTCACAGGCTCTCCAGCATGTGTTGTCACTTGAAAATTAGATCTTATCAATTCTGATGGGTGTAAGGTGAAATATCAGGGGCATTTTGATTTGCCTTTCCCTGATGACTAAGGATGTTGAGCATTTCTTTAAGTGTTTCTCTGCCATTCGATATTCATTTATTGAAAATTCTCTGTTTAGCCTTGTACCCCATTTTTTAATTGGATTATTTGATTTGTTGCTGTTTAACTTTTTAAGTTTTTTATATACTCTGGATATTAGCCCTCTGTCAGATATAGTGTTATTAAAGATCTTTTCCCAATCTGTAGGTTGTTGTTTTGTTGTGGAGACGGTGTCCTTTGCTTTATAGAAGCTTTTCAGTTTCATGCGGTCCCATTAATTGATTGTTGATCTTAGAGCCTGTGCTGTTGGTGTTCTGTTCAAGAAGTTGTCTCCTGTGCCAATGAGATCAAGGCTCTTCCCCACTTTTTCTTCTAACAGGTTAAGTGTGTCTGGTTTTATGTAGAGGACTTTGATCCATTTGGAGTTTAGTTTTGTGCAGGGTGATAAATATGAATCTATTTGTATTTTTCTACCATTTGTTGAAGATGCTATCTTTTTTCCATTGTGTGGTTTTGGCATCTTTGTAAAAAATCAGGTGTCCATAGATGTGTGGGTTAATTTTTTGGTCTTCTACTCGATTCCATTGATTCACCAATCAGTTTCTATACCAGTACCATGCAGTTTTTACTATTGTTACTCTATAGTACAGCTTGAGATCAGGGATGGAGATACCTCCAGAAGATCTTTTATTGTAAAGGATTGTTTTAGCGATTCTGGGTTCCTTGTTATTCCATATGAAGTTGAGAATTTTTCTTTCCAGGTCTGTAAAGAATTGTGTTGGTAATTTGATGGGAATTGCATTGAATCTGTAGATTGCGTTTGGTAAGATGGTCATTTTTACTTTGTTAATCCTGCTGAGCCATGAGCATGGGAGATCTTTCCATCTTCTGATATCTTTCTTCAGAGACTGGAAGTTTTTTCCATACAAGTCTTTGACTTGATTGGTTAGAGTCACACCAAGGTACTTTATGTCTTTTGTGTCTATTGTGAAGGGTGTTGTTTCCCTAATTTCTTTCTTAGCCCATTTGTCTTTCATAAACAGGAGGGCTACTAATTTTTTTGAGGTAATTTTGTATCCAGCCACTTTGCTACAGGTGATAAAGTAAAAATTTAAAAAATCCTCTATAGGCATGCCTGGAGGTTCTTCTCCTAGATGATACTAACTTCTGCCAAGTTGACAGTTATCACTTATCAAAGAAAACATAACTTAAACTTTATTTTTAGCTTATACCTTAACTTTTCAGAAACTATTCAGGTTGCTTATAATTATCACATTTTCCGAAACCCTCAGTGATACTGTATTTAGTTCCCAGGTAATGTTTTGCTACCAATTCTACTGTCTGACCTAGTCCTTGTACTCTTTGTTTTATGAGCCATAAGATCTTTAAGTGCTTAGTAATGTTTTTTGTTTTTTTGTTTTTGATTTTTACATCTAAGTGCAAGTTGAGTTTCTATGTGTAAAACTGAGTATCAAGTAAACTTCTGAGCATCAATTTTTTCCAGTGCTTTCACGGTAATTCCCACACTTATGCTGCGTGGTACATCTCTAGGGTCCTGCTTTAGTGGTTCATGGGTAATGAATGATGCAGGTGGGGCTATGTAACAACCATTTTCTTTCAAATGTTATGCTTATAGTCACCAGCGGATTGTGAGTGTGACATGGTAGATAGCTCTCCTTTTGGAACAGAAAGTTTGTGGGGGAGAAAGAGAACAATATGGCAATGGTCTCTTGTTTTTGATGATGATAAGTGTTCGATCATATCATCAAACAGTTCTATTAAAAGGAGGAAAGGAGTAGGAGAAAGTGGGTCAGTCAGTAGCTGACTCTTAACTGGCTGACCCTTCAGTACCCCAAACTCAGTACACCTGAAATCTGTGTGTCCTATTCTTCCTTCTACAACAGCTTCTTATTTTAAGTTACAGTTTCAGAGACCAGATAAAATGTCTTTCTGGTCTTCTAGGCCTGGCCTGGGAATCATCTTTCATCTGCCAACAACCTATCTAAGTAATCATAAAAGCCGACTAACTTTCAGTTTCCATTTCTCACATCTATGTTTTTCTTTGTCGTTCTGCCATCTGAGGAATTTATTATTTCATCAAAATTAGCTTTTGTGTGTATTTTTCTGCCTTGATAAAATTTAACTTCCTTAAAAAGAGGTAATTGTCTTACCTTTGCTTTTAAAATATTGGTAGCTTAGGGCTGGAGAGCAGTTAAGAGCACTGACTGCTCTTCCAGAGGACCTGGGTTTGATTCCTAACACCCACATGGTGGTTTACAACTATCTCTAACTCCAGTTCCAGAGAATCTGACTCTCTTTTCTAATCCTCACAGACACAAGGCACATATGTAGGGTACATATATACATTCAGGCAACACCCTCTCCCTCCCAACATTGGCATCTAGTAAGGTGCTCAGTAAATGTTCACTGACATGAACTAAGTGAGAGAATGATAGAAGATCCAATAAGAAGGCAATCTTTTAAGTGTTTCATATATAACAACTCACTTTATCAAGGATGTCATGGGTTTTTAACAATTCATGAAGATATAGAATGCTCTCAGTCCTTCATCAGCATAAAGGACTTTATCTAGGCACATACATAGGAATATGCACTTGGTGACAGTGAGTGAGTAAATCCTGTGAGTTTTGCTTTGCCCAACATTAGGTCAATGGACTGACAGTTCATGGGGCCACTCCCCTCTTCAATGCCTGCTGCAGTGGTAGTGCTGCATGTGTTAACGTGCTGTTGGAGTTTGGAGCCAAGGCCCAGCTTGAGGTCTACCTGGCTTCACCTATCCATGAAGCAGTGAAGAGAGGTAAGTTCACCGCTCCAGGGCACACAAAGAAGTGTTCGGGGAATGGCAGTGTGCATGAAACAACGGTCTATTGGTACAGATGTTTTCACCTACAGGCATGTGACCCCACAATTACAATTGAAACTTCTTGAGGCTATTTCAAGTTTCACTCAAACTAGGCTCAGTTTCCATCCTGCCGAAACATTTAAAAAGATAAGAGTTATTTAGAAGTAAAATTGGTTCTGATTATGTCATCTCTAAAATAAAAAACCACGGTTAAATTAATGATAGCAGCTTTTCTGCATGCGTGCATGCGCATGCGTTTTGCCTGCATGTATATCTGTGTACCCATGTGTATGCAGTGACCTCGGCATCAGATCCACCTGGCACTGGAGTTGTATACTGTTGTGAGCTATCATATGGGTGCTTGGAATAGAAACTCCATCTTCTACCGGATCAGCAGATTTTTTCCCCCCAAAATTTATTTATTTATTTTATGTATGAGGGCTCTGACTGCACATATACCTGCGTGCCAGAAGAGGGCATCATATCTCAGTGGAGATGGTTGTGAGCCTCCATATGGTTGCTGGGAATTGAACTCAGGACCTCTGAAAGAGCAGACAGTGTTCTTAACCACTGAGCCATCTCTCCAGCCCCAGCAGGTGCTCTTAACCACCAATCCATCCTTCCAACCTCACTGATAAAACTTTTGAGGAAATATTTAAAACTATTATCAGACTTTTATCAGTGCCACAGAAGAATGCCTTCATTAAGAATTCATTGATATGCTGCAAATTTGTCATGTTTTGTCATTGGGCAAAGTCTCCATAGAGAATGCGTGCTTATGGAGTTCTCCCTAGCTAGTGAATTTGTAATTTATTTTGGATATATTCTTTATTTGAAGCTTTGGATTCATTTTCATCTGTGTCTTCCAGTCTAACCAAAGAAAGTTGCAGGTTCTCTTTTTTAGGTGTGGGTGAAGCATAGAATGGGAGATTAGTAATGGAGAAGAAATAGGACTGAGCGGTGGTTTGAGCACTGGTAATAATAGAGGTCATTTATCCCTCTGCTTCTTGTAGCCACCATTTGTGAAGTGATGGTTTCATGCTAGAGAGAGAGAGAGAGCTCAGCTTTCATGGAACCTGAGTTTCACTGTAGTTAGTTACGGGACTGAAAAAAGTCATTTCTCTAGAGGAAGCATTTTCATGGTTTTATCTTGCAGATTTCTACTTATGATTTCCAAAACAAAGTTTTTTTTTTTTCTAATACAGGGAAAAATCTATTACTTCTTTTAAAAAATATTCAGTGATCTATTTTGTGCATATGGGTAATTTGTCTGTGTGTGTCTGTTGGCTATGTGCATGTGATGCCTCTAGAGGCTAGAAGAGGGCATCAGTTCTCTGAGACTGGAGTTACAAACAGTTGTGAGCCACCGTGTGGTGCTCGGAATTGGGACCCAGATCCTCTGGAAGAGCAGCACATTTTAATGATTGAGCTATCTCTTCACAAGATCCCCCCATCCCCAGAAAGCAATCCCGGAATTATGTGCATAGTCAGCATGTTCCTCTGTGAATAAGGTTATCTTATATTCCACCAGGTCACAGAGAGTGCATGGAGATTCTGCTGGAGAATAATGTTAACATTGAGCAAGAGGTTCCTCAGCTGGGAACTCCCCTGTATGTGGCTTGTGTTTACGAGAGAGTCGACTGTGTGAAGAAACTTCTAGAACTAGGTAATTAATAAATCTTTTTTAATGAGATGATCCTGATAAGTTTTTTTTTTATTATTATTATTATTGACAAGGATTCTCTGCCCTGAATTCACTCTGTAGATCTGTAGACCTGGCTAGCCCTGAAATTACAGAGATCTGCTTGCTTCTGCTTCTAAGTACTGGACTTAAAGATGTGTGCCACCACTGACTGGCTTTAAAAAACAAAACAAAACAAAACAAAAACCGGCTCTAAAGATAACATTCTTACCAGGTTTGAAAAGATTCTGATTTTATTGGATGTTTGAAAGCTATATGGAGAACTCATCTAGAGAAGCAAATCTTTCTTAGTTCCTCTTCCATTGATGTTAGCCATATGTAGCTAGCATGTTTCTCCTTAGTGGTAGCAACATGTCTGACACAAACACTTGGACTTGTAAGAAGAAGGAATATACAGGCTCTCTTTGAGACACATGGATGGCCATCGCTAAAGCAATTGTGGTGGCCAATGGAATATAGGTTACTGATGGACTCAGGGTTGGATTTCAGTTTCCTTTGCAGTCATTAGATTTCATTCAGGACACATGAGCTGAGAATCACAAAAAAATGCTTCTCCAAAGAGACAGCTGAGTATGGGATGTGGTTCTCTCCTGCTATTTTCCACTTCAAATATTTCCTCAAAAGTTTTATCAGTGAGGTTGGAAGGATGGTTTGGTGGTTAAGAGCACCTGCTGGGGCTGGAGAGATGGCTCAGTGGTTAAGAACACTGTCTGCTCTTCCAGAGGTCCTGAGTTCAATTCCCAGCAACCACATGGAGGCTCACAACCATCGCCACTGTGATCTGAGTGTCAAATACAGAAACCACCATTCCAGGGAAAAGTAAAATACTTCAAAATTATCATTTGCTTCATGATTTAAGATACTTAACTACTGATGTAAACATGACGGCTGTACTAAAAACCTCTATTTGAGAAATTGGACTTCTAAGATGGTTTTTATTATTTATTTTTCTACCATTTGCTATTTTTATGTAGATTTTTGGAAATATTTTTGGAGCCTCCAATTATGCTAAATAAAATTCTCTCTGTATTTTTCCAGAAAGTCCCCCAAATAACCATGTAACAGGAACTTCAAATACTGTGTTTTGTGTTTTACAATATATTTGTGTGTATGTTTGTGTATGTATGTGTGTATGTGTATATGTATGTGTGTGTAAACACCTAACTTCACTTTTCTCACTGAACTGTCTTGGAGTAGTCTTCACAGGCTTTGTTGAAGTTCTAGGCTTCAATCACATAGTCTCAAAGATTGGCTAAATACACCAGGGTGTGAAAGATACCTTTATATATAACAGCTCATTGTATCTTACATTCACACTCAGTGTTGATTGTGACTATCTGCTTTATTAAGGAGCCAGTGTTGACCATGGCCAGTGGCTGGACACCCCACTGCATGCTGCAGCAAGGCAGTCCAGTGCGGAGGTCATCAATCTGCTCACTGAGTATGGGGCTAACCTGAAACTCAGAAACTCACAGGGCAAAAGTGCTCTTGACCTTGCTGCTCCCAAAAGCAGTGTGGAGCAGGCACTCTTGCTCCATGAAGGTAAGAAGGGCGAGGTATTTGCTTCTCTTCCCTAAGTATACTGACATCTCACCCCTTGATGATTCCTCTTTTTTTCTTTTCCTTTTAATTGGGCATGGTTTTGTGGAAAGGGCGAAGTCCTGGATAACTGCAGTGTCTCCTTAGAATTTATTTTTCCTTCCTTCTTTCTTTCTTTCTTTCTTTCTTTCTTTCTTTCTTTCTTTCTTTCTTTCTTTCTTTCTTTCTTTCTTTCTTTCTCACTGTATTATTGTTGCATTTTATTTCCCACGACAAGAAAATAATCAGACAGCCTTGTTTTCATCCAGAAAGGATTCAACAGCCATGCTTATCACAGAAAAGGCACATACTTGAAGAAATCAAAGCTCATCTTTGTAGCATTGTAATGTAGTGTGTGGACAAATTAGACATGCTGCATAAGGACCATCAATAATGGTCAAGCATACAGCTTGTGGTCCCATAAGATCAAATCACCAAGTCGCACCTCAACCATCTTAGTGTGTGTAAATACATTCTACGGTGTTTACACACAATGTTGAAGATGCCTAACGATGCACTGCTCAGAATTTACCTGGTTTGAGTAAGTGACACCTGACTGTATTTGAATTCGGACTGTAGGGAGGATAGGATATATTTCAGAAAGCTAGCCAAATGTTGATGTTGTTTGCTTTTTCTCTGATCAGGGTGTAGGAGGTCAGCCTTCCAGAACCCCTTGTCTGATTTCCACTATAGGCATGAACAGCAACTGTAGATGCTGGGGATAAAGATAGAGCTGAACTATTTCATCCCTACACCCAAAAAAGAACCCTTTCCACATCCATATGTTTTGAGAACGTTTTCTGAGCCTTTGAAAGGTAGTGTGCCAGGGAGAGTAAAAGTAAAAGTTATTAGAATGATTCAATTTTACAAGTGCTTCCATGGAGCTTACTTTGAAACAGGGGTTAACCTCACTGAATTATTTTTTAATTTATTTATTCACTGTATATTCCCATAATCATCCCCTTCCTTCTCTCCTCCCGGCTCCACACTCCTTTCCTCTTCCCCTTACCCCCTCCTATTTTTCAGAAAAAAAGGAGCTACCCCCAACCCCGTACCAACTTATCCCAACTCATCAAGTACCATCAAGACTGAGTGAGTCCTCTTGTCATGTGGCCTGGCAAGGAAGCCCTGCCAGAGGGAAGTGATCGTAAAGGAGGCAACAGATTCCATGTCATAGATAGCCACAGCTACTCTTACTAGGGAACCCATATGGAGACTGAGCTGCCTATTGACTATATCTGTGTAGGGGCCTATGTCTTCTCCATGTATGGTCCTTGATTGATTCATCAATCTCTGCAGATTTTTACTTTGTTGGTCTCCTTGTGGAGTTCCTATCACCTCCAGGTCCTTTTGTCCTTCCTTCCAATTTTCCAAATGACTCCTTAAGCTTCACTCAATGTTTGGCTGAACCTCACAAAACTCTTAAAAACACTGAGAACTTTGTAGAAACTCATGCTCTCCCAGCTATGAGTGTAAAAAGTGAAGCATAGAGGAATTGGCTTCCAGAGTGTAACACACCTACTAAGAAGCACTACGATGCTAAGCAAGACTTCGGGCTCAAGAACAAGAATGCTTAAAGCTCTAAGACTTCAATCCAAATGCCCTGAAACAATGTGCACAGCAAGGGGTCTTTTGTGTTTTATGAAACACTCCCAAGTCATGTCTGGCCCAATGAAATGCTCGGATTATTACTTTGCAAACAGTTTCTATCAGTGCCTTTAAAAACCTTCTGTGCAGTGTATCAAAGCAGATACTAAGACTCAGAACCAAAACTTCGGCAGAGTGCAAGGAATCATATGAAAGAAGGGAAGTTAGTATGACGTGGAAAGAATAGGAGCTCCATAAGGACCAAATATATCTGGGGTCTTTTCTGAGACTTGACACTCAACCAAGGACCATGTATGGATATAACCTAGAACCTCTGCTCGGATGTAGCCCATGGTAGCTCAGTAACCACTTGGTTTCCCATAGTAAGGGGAACAAGGACTGTTTCTAACAGGATCTCAATGGCTAGCTCTTTGACCCCTCCACCCCCCAAGGGAGGAGCAGTCTGCCAGGCCACAGAGTAGGACTTTGCAGCCAGTCCTGAAGATACCTGATAAAACAGGGTCAGATGAAAGGGGAGGAGGTCCTCCCCTATCAGTGGACTTGGAAAGGGTCAGGGAGGAGATGAGGGAGGGAGGGTGGGATTGGGAGGGAATGAGGGAGTGGGATACAGCTGGGATACAGAGTTAACAAAATGTAACTAATAAGAAAAAAAAGACCTAGAATTAAAAAACAAACAAACAAACAAACCCTTCCGCGCCAATAAATCTCCTGCGGACCTTATTAAAATAGAGATTTGGACCAAGGTGGTCCAACTGGGTTCCTCAACTCTGCCTATTTAACTGACTCCCACACTTAAACTAGCACTATGTTAGTCTATGTTAGTCCTGATGTCTAGGCCATTAATACATGCTCTTTAATTTGAATTGCCACTGGAAGGATAGCGGCCTTCCTTACCAGACACTTGTTTGGAAAGTATACTTTACAATTGTAAGCTGAGAACATAGCTGGTGATAGTTTGTACATTTTTCTTACTTTGTTTCCCCCTACGCCAAGTGTTTTCAGGCCTAGGGTTTATTTGTATTCCTTAGCAAGCTCCTCTGTCCTCATGCTTCATAAACACAGGTATTACTTTTGAGCTCCTCTGAGAAAATGGGTTAAATTGTCTGCATTGCTATGTTCTGCAGAAGCTTAGCTCCTTAGTTCCTGGTTGTGAAGTCTTTCGCCAGATTTCGGGGGAACGGGGTGGGGATCTTTCCTGTTCTCCATTTCCAGTGGTTTAACTAAAGGTGAGTATTTGGTTCTCAGAGATTTTACAGAGAGATCTCTGTCACATGTTCCTTGTCCACATCAATTTTGAGTGTCATCGGGTTATTTGCATATGTAATCTGCCTTCTTTCCATATTTTTATAGTGTAATTGCAGTAGGTTTTACTTACAGTGAGGGTTTGTAGAAGTCAGTACGTAATTAGATCCACTTGAGAAAGTCTTTGCTGATGAAAGGGTGAGGAAATAATTCGATAATGTAAATGTCCCTTTATAAGCAGATTCCATGAGACTGAAATTTAGGGAACAAAGGGGTTAAAGTGATTAGAGTTCTTTCCATACATATCTATTGAGGTAGAACCTTCTCAAGCACAGAAGGCCCCCTTTTCAAGTGGGAGGTGGGAGCCAGGACTACCATATATGCAGTTAGTACTTGGAAGCCTGTGGAAACTTTGAGGACTTTTTGGAACCTGATCTAGCTGCTAGCACAAACTGTGTGACCACAGAAGCAACACTTCCTGCTCATACCCTCTCTGCAGTTGCCCCTCTGCCCTGATACTCTGTCTTATACCCCAGTGCCTTTTCACTTCATCCAGCCTATCACTCTTCATCAGCACAGGCAGTAGTGAGGGAGAGGCACTCCCTATAGAGCTACACTTCTTTCCTAGCCTGTGGACAGCTCAGTGTTCAATAATAGAGTTACTATTGGAAGATCAACTTAAAGAACATTCTCTACAAAAGAGTGACTCAGAATCCTGTGCTTGTAGCACTCACCATCATTTGGTAATTCCTATCCCATTCAACTAAGCTTCCAGTACTCAAATCTCCTTTTCCACCCCACTGTGAGGCTCATGTCATTTTTATTCCCTCCTTCAGGTCCGCCTGCTCTTTCTCAGCTTTGCCGCCTATGTGTCCGGAAGTGCTTGGGCCGTCCATGTCATCAAGCAATCTACAAGCTAGGTCTGCCAGAACCTCTGGAAAAATTCCTCTTATACCAATAGTTGGAAACATGTAGGTTGTTGCCTGCTGTAGGGTGCTTAGTATGTACTCTCAGTGGCTCAAATCATTATCCTTGAAAATCAGCTCACTCAATTAGAATAAATCGTCCAGAAATCTAAACACTCAAAGTGAGCAAACTCCTGATTAGTTTAATGGTTGCCAAAGAGTAACCAGAAACCTTTTGGTTTTTAACTCTTGTTAATCAACTTAAAACAAAATTGAAATAGAGGAAACATAATAGGCTGTTTTTGGATGATTTGGGATCCTCTAGTATCTGGGTCTGGGGTCAGCATTCTAAATTCTGCATAGATACAGGTAGATAAGGTTAAGTTAACTACTTAAGAAATGCTCTTGATTTAGTCCTTCTCCAATATATTTTGTTAGTTTGGTGTTTTCCTAAAATAAATTTCTTCAGTGATTTTGATTTCTCTTAATTAAAATATGTATAAATAATTAAGTAGTGTTGGAGAGATGGCTCAGGAGTTAGGAACATTTGCTGCTCTTACTGAAGACTTGGTGTGGTTCCCAGAACTCACTTTGCACCGTATGTGACTCCAGTTTCAGGGACTCTGGTCCCCTCTTCTGGCCACAATTGGTACTGCATGCACATGATGCACAGAGGTAAAAGCAGGCAAAATACCTGCACACATAAAAAAAAATAAAGAAATGACTCTTTAAAAAGCATCGAGATATATAATTAATAAATTGTGAAGAAAAAAATTAAAAAACCAACTAAGTACTTTGGAAACATCAAAATTAAATGAGGTTTTGGGTGACTGCACTTTTGGTGACTAAGAAAGATATTTGAAGAGATTAGCTCATCCAAAGGTTGAAACTTTTGCACATTACTTCTGATATTAAATATTTTTGTAAGAAAGTAAGCAGCTCTAGGATTGAGCAACATTGGTCTTCCTGTAATCTGCTCTCCCAGCTACTGTCTGCTGTGAGCCATAACCTAACACTGGCATATTCTCAAAGTCTTCAAACAATCCCCTCCCCTCCTCATCTCCTTTTTTTCTTTTCTTCTGTGCTTCTCCCTTTCCCTTCCTAGTCTATTTTTGTAATATTAGAACCGTAGAACTTCAGAGGTTTTCATTATTCTAAGTACTGTTGTCGCAGATTTGTCACGGTAGGAATACTAGCTAAATGAAAATTCTCTTTCATAAATTCCTAAGATTCATTCTTAATGTTCTTTTTTTTTTCAGTTTTCCTAGGCCTTTGTGTCTTAAGTGAGGATAGTCTACTCCCTTCCCCTGGTACATTCAATAATATCTAGAGTCATTTCCCATTGCAACGGCTGAGGGAAGGGTGCTACTGAGAGCTAGTAAGTGGAAGCCATAGCTGGTTACTGATCCCAAGAGTATAAATATGCTGTAATAAATCTTCTGAAGGTATCCTTGATTTCAAGATAAACTAGAGAAATATAGAAAAATCAACATGGGTGTAAATACCAGACACATTTATCAGTGTAATAAAATTGAAAACCCATACGTAAGCCCATATTCCTACAGCCACTTGATTTTTTTTTTGACAAAGAGGCTAAAAGACAGTATCTTCGACAAAAGGTGCTGGTCAAACATGATGGCTGTATGTAGAAGAATCCAAATAGATTCATACTTTTCACCGTGCAAAAACTCAACTCTAAATGGATCAAAGATCTCAACATAAAAACATAAAACCAGATAGATATACTGAACTTGATAGAGGAGAAAGCAGGAAAAACATTTGAACTTATCAGTACAAGAAATTAGTTGCTGAACAGGATCATGATAGCATAGTCATTAAAACCAATAATTAAACAGAACCTAACTCATGAAACTAAAAATGCCGGTATAGCAAAGGATACCCTTATTCCAGCAAAATGGCAGCCTACAAGCCTACATAATGGGAAAAAATCTTTACCAATTATAGAGGGCTGGTATTGGGAATATAAAATAACTTAAAAAATTGAACATCAAGAAAATCACCCAATTTGAAAGAACTAAACAGACACTTCTTGACTTATTCACTATTCTCTTGCTGTGAAGATACACCACAATCAAAGAAACTCTTATAAAAGGAGGTATTTAATTGGGTCTTACTTACAGTATCAGAGGCTTAGTCTATTTTCATCTTGGGAGGGAGCATGACATCACACATCGTGCAGGAGTTATAGGTGAGAGCTACATTCTGGTTTGCAAGCTGAGAGAAAGAGAATGACACTGGGCCTGGCTTGGACTTCTGAAACCTCAAAGCCCATACTCAGTGACACATTTCCTTCAGCAAGGCCATTCTTACTCCAACAATACCATACCTCCTAATCTTTCTAATCCTTTGAAATAGTGCCACTCAGTGGTGACTAAGCATTCAAATATATGAGCCTATCGGGGTCATTCTTATTCAAACCACAGTATTCCATTTTCTGGTCCCATAGTCTCATAGCATATCATAATGCAAAAATGCATTCAGTCCAACTTCAAAAGTCTCCATAATCTACAACAGTCTCAACACTGTTTAAAAGTCCAAAGTTGGAGATCCAAGATGGTGGCACTAGGAGGACACTGTGTCTTAGGAGAAGGACAGCAGTACCAGCACAGAGACCAAGAAACTAAACTCTGGGCACTAAAACAAAATCGACTGTGTTTCCCACGTGAGAGGAAACCCTACAGTGTGGGAATCCACACCCACGGTGTGGGTGTCCACTCTCAGGTCACACAGCTAAAACCCGGAAGAGTTCCTGGGTCCCAGCAGGTTGCCAGCCCAGAGCCATATGCCTGTGTGTCCTAATCACCTTCCCAGGCTGAACTGTGGGCACCAAAACACCAGAGACTCAGATTTCCAGTTGCTAGAAAACTCCACAGGGAAGGAAGCAAATGGGACCAACCTTAGGTCACCCAGTCAATCCCTGGAAAGGGTTCCAGGAACCGGGGGATACACAGCTGCTAGCCCAGAGACCTGCTGTGTGCCCAACTCACTGCCCCAGATAGAACTGGGGGCCCAAGGGCACCAGAGATGGATTTCCCATAAGTTTGGGTATGTTGTGTCTTCTTTTTCATTGAATTCTAGGAAGACTTTAATTTCTTTCTTTATTTCTTTCCTGACCCAACTGTCATTTAGTAGCAAGTTGTTCAGCTTCCATACGTGTGTAGGCTTTTTGAAATGGACAATTTTCTTGATCGATTCGGCTTACCAAAGCTGAATCAAGACCAGATAAATCAATTAAATAGTCCTATATCCCCTAAGGAAATAGAAGCAGTAATCAAAAGTCTCCAATCCAAAAAAAAAAAAAAAAAAAAAGCAGCCCAGGACCAGATGGCTTCAGCGCAGAATTCTTCCAGACCTTCAAAACAGAGCTAATTCCAGTTCTCTTCAAATGATTCCATAAAACAGAAACAGAAGGAACACTACCAAACTCATTCTATGAAGCCACAGTCACCTTGGTACCTAAATCTCACAAAGACCCAATAAAGAAAAGGAATTTCAGGACTATCTCCCTTATGAACATTGACGCAAAAATACTCAACAAAACACTTGCAAACCGAATACAAGAACACATCAAAGATATCATCCACTATGACCAAGTAGGCTTCATCTCAGGTATGCAGGGGTGGTTCAATATATGGAAATCCATCATTGTGATCCACCATATTAACAAACTAAAAGAAAAAAAAACACATGGTAATATCCTTAGATGCTGAAAAAGCATTTGACAAAATTCAACGTCCATTCAAGTTTAAAGTATTGGAGAGATCAGGGATACAAGGCACATATCTAAACATAGTAAAGGCAATATACAACAAGCCTATAGCAAACATCAAACTAAGCGGACAGAAACTTAAATCGATCCCACTGAAATCAGGGACAAGGCAAGGCTGCCCACTCTCTCCATATCTCTTCAATATAGTTCTGGAAGTCCTTGCTAGAGCAATAAGAGAGTTGAAGGAGATCAAGGGGATAGAAATCGGAAAGGAAGAAGTCAAAGTATCACTATTTGCAGATGATATGATAGTATACTTGACTAACCCACAAAATTCTACCAGGGAACTCCTAAAGCTGATAAACACCTTCAGCAAAGTGCCTGGACACAAAATTAACTCAAAAAAATCAATAGCTCTCCTGTATACAAAAGATAAATGGGTTGAGAAAGAAATTAGGGAAACAACACCCTTCACAATAGCCACAAAAGACATAAAGTACCTTGGTGTGACCCTAACCAAGAAAGTCAAAGACTTGTGTGAAAAAAAACTCTAAGTCTCTGAAGAAAGAATTAGAAGAAGATATGAGAATATGGAAAGTTCTTCCATGTTCATGGCTTGGCAGGATTAACATAGTAAAAATTGCCATCTTACCAAAAGCAATCTACAGATTCAATATAATTTTCATCAAATTACCAACACAATTCTTCACAGACATGGAAAGAAAAATTCTCAACTTCATATGGAATAAAAAGAAACCTAGAATCGCTAAAACAATCCTCTACAAAAAAAGATCTTCTGAAGCTATCTCCATCCCTGATCTCAAGCTGTACTGTAGAGCAACAGTAATAAAAACTGCATGATACTGGCATAGAAACAGAATGGTAGATCAATGGAATGAAATAAAAGACCCAGAAATAAACCCACACAGTTACAGACACCTGATTTTTGACAAAGATATCAAAACCATACAATGGAAAAAAGATAGCATCTTCAACAAATGGTGCTGGTCTACCTGGATGTCTACATATAGAAAAATGCAAGTAGATCCATACTTATCACCCGGCACAAAACTAAAGTCCAAGTGGATGAAAGACCTCAACATAAAACCAGACACATTAAATCGGTTGGAAGAAAAAGTGGGGAAGAGCCTAGAACTCATTGGCACAGGAGACAACTTCCTGAACACAACACCAACACCACAGGCTTTAAGAGCAACAATCAATAAATGGGACATCATGAAACTGAAAAGTTTCTGTAAAGCAAAGGACACTGTCATCAGAACAAGATGACAGCCTACAGATTGGGAAAGTTTCTTCACCAACCCT